ATCTGATTCCTTCAGACTATCAGTTGAAATTCATGTCTAAAGTAATCTTTTGTCTTTTAGTAAAAGTACTTTCAATGAATAAATACAAAATTCAATCTTTATATTTTCAGCCTCATTTCTATTACCAAGCTCATATTTTCCAACAACTGTTCCTTGTTCATTGTTTCTTACTTTTGCATTCCAGTCACCAATTATCATTAGCACATCCTGACTGCACATTCAGTCAGTTTTAGATTACAACATTTGGTAAAAATTCTCAATTTCTTTCCCTTTGGTACTAAATGTAGGAGCATATACTTTAATGATAGTCGTATTAGTGGGTCTTCCTTGTATGTGTATGGATATTATCCTATCACTCACAGCATTGTATTTCAAGATAGAACTTGTAATTGGCTTTTTTACTATGAGTGCAATACCATTCTTCCATTTTTCATTTCCTGCATAGTATACCATATGATTATCTGATTTGAAGTGGCTATAGCTTGTCCATTGCATCTCACTAATGCCTAGTATGTCAATATTCATGTGTTCCATTTCATTTTCAACAATATCCAGTTTTCCAACATTCAGGGTATAAACATTCCATGTTCCAATTGTTAAATGATGTTTGTTATTGATTTTCCTCATTTCAACTAAATTATAATCTGGGCTTTACCACTATACTACTCTAACTATCCTCTTTGTTTAGGGTTCATAGGGTTTTCAAAAGTGTTTTATTTAGAAAATAGATGGCCCATCCTGCTTCCTAGTCTGTCTTAATCAGGGAACTCCACCAAATCCGTCCACAATGGGAGACCCTTTTGGAATTTGACACACCAGTGGCAAAGATTTCAGTATCACAGAAACTCCTAGTAATTGCAGTACAGCAAACTGATAGGCAAGTGCTGCGCCACTTAGAACAACATCCTTTCTATATATCTATAGTACATATCTATAGTATATATAGCATGTATATATATAGCATATGTCTCTCTCTCTCTCTCTCTCTCTCTGTCTCTCATAGTTTTTCTATCCATTCATTTGTTGATGTGTACTTGGGTTGCTTCAATCTCTTTGCTATTGTGAATAGTGCAACAATAAACATGAGTGTGCATATATGTGTTTGGTTGGCAGCTCTGATTTCTTTAGTGTATATTCCTCAGAGTGGAATTGTTGGGTCAAATGGTATTTCAATTTCCAACTTTTTGAGAAACCACCACACTGCCTTCCATAGTGATTGCACCATTTTACAATCTCACCAGCAGTGAATAAGGTTTCCATCTCTCTACATCCTCACCAGCATTTGTTGTTTGCTACTCTGTTGAACTCTGCTGCTGTTACTGGGCTGAGATGACATCTCATAGTTGTTTTCATTTCTATTACTCTCAGAGCTAGAGATTTTGAACATTTCTTCATGTGTTTGTTTGCCATCTGAATGTCTTTTTTTGGTGAAGTGTCTGTTTATATCCTGTGCCCATTTTGTGATTGCATTTTTTACCTTTTTCTTGTTGAGGTTCTGAAGTATTCTATAATTTTTAGATTTAAGTTCCTTATCAGATATGTCATTATAATTTTTCCCCAGTCTGTGGGTTTCCTTTTTAATCTGTTGGAGAAGATTTTTGATGTGCATAGGAATTTGATTATTAGAAGGTCCTTTCATCTATTTTATTCTCTTCTGGTTGTAGGTTTTTCAGGATGCTTGGACTATGTTCATATTGTAGATTAGGGCTTCTAGGGTTCTTCCAATCTTTTCCCTAATGAAGTTTATTGTCCTTGGTTTTACTCCTAGGTCCTTGATCTACTTTGACTTGGTTTTTGTGTATGGTTTGAGATGTGAGTCTTACTTGAGTTTTCTACAGATAGTTTTCCAATTTCGTCAACACATTTGTTAAAAAGACTTTTGTTTCCCTACTAAGCTGATTTCATCTCCTTGTCAAAAATCAGTTGACCAATCATAGTTGTGCTGATTTATGGATTCTCAATTATATTCCATTGATCTATGTGTCTTATCACTATACCAGAGTACCACAATGTCTTGAACACCATGGCTGTGTAGAAGGATTTAAGATCAAGAAGCGTAATGTCTCCTACCTTGGTTCTCTTTTTCAGGAGTGCTTTTCTTGTTTGGGGTCTCTTCCCATTCCAGGTAATTGGAAAGTGCCTTTTACATCTCGTTAAAGAATGGATTTGGTATTTGTATTAGGATTGCATCGAACTTGTTGTTTACCTTTGGTAGAATTTTGTCATTTTCACTATACTGAGTATTCCTATCTATGAGCATGGTATATTTTTCCATTTCTCCAAGTCTTTTTTTGTTTCTTGTAGTAATGTGTTGTAATTTTCTTTGACTAGGTCTTTTGTGTTTCTAGTTAGAATTACTTTCAAATATTTAATCTTGTGGTTAGTTATTATGATGGGTATTGTTCTTCTTAGCTTCATTTCTGTATTCTCTTTGTCACTATAGAGAAATCTAATTGATTTTTGTATGTTGATCTTATATCCTACCACTTTGCTGAATTGGTCAACTATATCCAGTAGTTTTCTTGCTGAGTCTTTAGGGTTTTCTAAGTACACTATTATATCATCTGCATAACATGTAGAGATAGTTTTTATTTCCTCTTGCCAATTTGGATACCTCTTATATCCTTCTCTTGTCTTATTACTCTCACTAAGAATTCCAATATAATATTGAATAGGAGAGGTGATAGTGGGCATCCTTGCCTAGTTTCTTTTCTCAAAGGATATGATTTTAATCTCTCTCCATTCAGAATGATGTTGGCTCTTGGTTTTGTGTATATACTTTTCACCATGTTGAGGAAATTCCTCTCTATTCCTATTTTGTTGAGTGTCTTAATCAGGAAAGAGTGCTGGATTTTGTTTGACGAAGGCCTTTTCTGCATCAGTTGATAGGATCATGTGGTTCTTGTTCTCTGCTTTGTTAATATGATGAATTACACTGATTTTTAAAAAATTTTGAACCATCCTTGCATACCTATTAGGAATCCCACTTGGTCATGGTTAATTTATATATGTATATTTATAGATAGATAGATAGAGAGATAGAGAGATAGAGAGATAGAGAGATAGAGAGATAGAGAGATAGAGAGATAGAGAGATAGATATATAGAGAGAGATATATAGGGATATATAGATATTGTTGGATTCTCTAGCACCACAATTCAAAGGCATCAGTTCTTCTTCTGTCATCCTTAGTCATTGTCCAACTCTCTAAAGCATAGCAAGTAATTGCAAAGACCACACCTGGATTAGGTTCACCATAGTTTCTAGACTGACATCCTTGCTTTTCGGTACTCTGGAGAAGTCCCTGATAGCAGATTTTCCCAATGCAATTCATATTTTTATTTCCTGGCTGCTGGTGTTAAGAGCAATTCCCAATGCATTTCATATTTTTATTTCCTGACTACTGGTGATTGTGGAGCTGAGCAAACTGTAATTGTTAACAACCTCATTCTCTTCTCCACTTATCATGGCACTGCTTTGTATTCTTGGTTTTGAGCTTCAATTCATATTAAACACCACAGTCCTTGGCCTTCAGCAGCAAGTGCTTCAGGTTTTCTTCAGTTTCAGCAAGCAAGGTTGTGTCATCTGCATAATATAGGTTGTTGATGAGTCTTCCCCCAAATTTGATGCCACATTCCTCCTCATAAAGCACGGCTTCCTAAATTATCTGTTCTGCATATAGATTGAAATAATATGGAGACAGGATGCATCCCTGATGCATTCCTTCTCTGATTTGTGTTTCCCTGTTCTGTTCTTAGGACTTCATTATGCCTGGAAAATTTTTTTTCTAGTAATTCTTCTACAACTTTTTCTATCTGTTTACTTGCTTCATCCTGTTCTGAAATTCCAGTTATGCACACGTTATTCCTCTTGATTGTGTCCTACATCATTCTTAGGCTTTCTCCTTTTTCCTTCCTTTTTGATTCTTCTTTTTGTTACAGCAGATCAGTGTTGAGAAGTGTATTTTCTGTTTCACTGGTTTTGTATTCCATTTCTTCAACTCTGCTTATTTGTCCTTCCAACATATTAACAGCACCTGAAACATTGGTCTTCTTACTCTGCATTGTGGTTTCTTGTTTTTCCAGAGCCTCTAATGCCTCATTTGTTTTATCTACATTGTTCTGCATTTTTTTTAGAGTTCATCTTGGCCTTTGCTTGCAGAATCCTGTAATTCTTGAGTTTGTCTTTCACCTATTAAAAATATTTAATCATTATTCTTTTAAATTATGTGTCAAAAAGTTCCATCAGACTTTCTGGCTCCAGGAAATCCATTGATTCTGTGTTTTGATCACTTTTTTGGGGGGTGATATCTTGTTTTGGTTTTGTGTAGGGTGTGAGATAGTCTGCTTCTTCTGTGTCATTGCTGTGTTAGAGATTTTCTTGTGTGGGGCTCTAGCAGGTCCTTAATCTGATAACTTTGGCGCAGAAGCTCACTGCTTCAGAGGAGGGAAGGGCAGCTCACTTTGTCCGAATTTCTCTCTGATATTTTGATCAAGGGAAGATTTGCTTCAGCAAGGAGAGAGATAGCCTATAAATTGGCAGCCTTCTTGGCCAGGTAACTGTCATAGCTAGGCAGGTGTCTGCAGCTCAAGTACTGTCTCTGAGAGGGGCCAAGGTGTTCAAGAAGGAAATGACTTTACCTGCGATATTGGTGCTTCTGGCACAGGATAGTGTGGTGGCAGTGCTGCAGTAACAGCCAAGATGAAGATATTTGTGAGACATTTGGCAAAGTACCTAGTAGACACAGGGTCACAAATGGAAGTGCTGGAGGGTCAACCCCTAGACCTCAGGAGTGAGTATGCCCCAATCACAGCAAAGGGATAGACAAGATGAGGTAAACAAACCTATCTGAATCTAGAAAGAGCTACCTGGAACCCCACAAGGAACCAAATTGCCAAAGTTAATTTGTTTTCATTCCTACTGTAACCTCTAGCTTGCGGCTGTCTCCAGATGACTTCCGTTTTCAGTTTGAGACCATACAGCAGACATTGGGACAGAACATGACTTACCTGTGTTACCGTCTAGAGCAGCTGGATGATGGTGGCCCCGTCTTACTCAATGCTGCTGTCCTTGTGGACATGCCAGGTGGGCTGGAGAAGATGTTCACTATGGTCCTTGACTATCTCCCCAAACTGGGATCTCCTGATGGCAGGACCAGGTGTGGTGCCTCCCAGGTTCCTGCTGAGGCATGACCCTGGGTAGGTTATCAAGAAATAACACAGGAATGAGTAAAAGATGGATGAATGGTTGCCTGATGTCCATGTTTTCCTCCTGGGGAGGGAAGAAGCCTCTGGGACTGAAGCACAGTGGCCTCCATCCAGTATTTAGCCTGCCTACAGCCCTGACCTTCCTCTCTCTTTTACCTCCAGGGACCCATGTGGAAATGCAGTTCCTATCCTCCAGAAACATTCAGGAGCTGGAACAGGACAAACAGTACCGGGTCACCTGGTACATCTCCTGGAGCCTGTGTGTAGAGTGTGCTCAAGAAGTGTCCACTTTCCTGCGGGAGCACCCTAACGTCCACCTGAGCATCTTTGCATCCCGGCTGTATCACTGGAACAGGCGATTAAATCAGCAGGGGCTGAGGGACCTGCAGGAGGCTGGAGCCCAAATCCAAGGCATGTCTTTTCAGGGTGAGCTGGTCCACTGGGTACCGGTGGGAAGGATTTGAGGTGGGAGGCTACTGGGATCAGTGGGCAGAGGTTCTAAATGAAGACTTCTAGTGGCACTGGCACTGAGTTCACATGGAAAGGAATTGTCAGGGGAGGTGGTGGAGAAGCCATAGGAGGGAAGCTGATGTGGGGTGACTTCCCCCCAGAGAAACATGTTCTTGGCTTCCCTGCATTAGAAGCTGGCCTTCTGTTCTTACACACAGAGTTTGAGGACTGCCGGGAAACCTTTGTGGACCACGAGGGAGAGCGCTTCCAGCCCTGGGAGGGAATAGACGTAAATGTGGACTTCTTTTCGCAGAGGCTTGCAGACATCCTAGGAGTGCACTTAAAGCCAGCCCTCAGTCCTCCCCTGTTGTCACATCACCCTTTTCACCCTTGCTAGAAAACCCCTCTTCCACTTTTATTAATGTTATTATTATTATTGTGGTTTGATAAAGATTGCAAAGGAAATGAGTTCTCCATTCAATAATTCTTACTTATTTATTTTAATTTTATTACAATAACAGGTTTGTCCTTGAGAGGGTGAAGCCAGAATGCTCTGTGGAGTCAAGGATTCTGAAGCTTCATCTGACATACTTTAGGCATGTTGTAAGGAGGGCACTGGTCCATGGAGAGGGACATCATGTTTGGCCGAGTGGAGAGATGGTAGAGGAGAGGAAGACCTTCGATGAGATGGATTGATTCTGTGAATGGAGCAGTGGAAATGAGTGTGTTTGAGACAGGCGAGGTTGGCACAGGATAGAATGGTGTTTTGGGCTCTTGTACATAGGGACCCTATGAGTCGCAAGTGACTTGATGGAACATAACAACAACAACAACAAAGTAAGTTTGTTCTTCCCACTTCCTCCCTGAGATTTTACTTTCTATTTCTTATCTTCTGAGCTTTTCCCTGGACAAATGTTGCTCTTTGTGTCTTAAGTGGCTCACTAGTCTAAGGAGTGAATTCCTCTTCGGAGTTTTTGTTCACCATTAGGCCTGTCTATCATTGGGGAAATCTGTCAAGGATGGAGTCTCTAAAGTGCTAAAGAGCAAGCATGTCACTTAAAAGACTAAGGTGTGCCTAGTATGAGCCATGGTATTTTCTATTGCTTCCTAAACATCTGAAGGTTGGGAAATGGATAAGCATTACAGAAGAGTCAGTGCCTTTTAATTGTGGTGTTGGAGAGCAGTGCCGAACATCCCATGGACTGCCAAGAGAACAGACAACTCTCTCTGAAGAAGTACTACTTGAGTGTTCCTTAAAGGCAAAGATGGTTGAAGTTTTGTCTTATGTATTTTGGGCATTTTGTCAGGAGAGGCCAGTCCTTGGAAAAGCACACCATCCTGAGAAAGGTGAAGGATCAGAGAAAGAGAGGAAGACCTTCAACAAGATGGACTGGCACAGTAACTGTAACAATGGGCTTGAACATATCAATGGTGAGGATGACGCAGGATAGGGCCTGGCTCAATCTGTTGTTCATAGGGTTATGATGAGTGGTAGTTGAGTTGATGGCACCTATCAACAGCAGCAACAGTATTCTTGGATTAAGGGTTCTGCCATAAGGATGAGCTTTGTTTCATGTTTGAAGGATAACTGAAGGCCATATTCTTGAATATTCTATCAGAGCGATTAATAGCTATTGGACCAGTAAGCCTGACTTATTGTTGTTATGTGCCGTCGAGTCACCTGTGACTTGTAACGACCCTATGTGCAACAGCTCTAAACCCTGCTCTATCACTTGCCAATCTTATTGTCTCCGACACATCTATTCCCATTACCCCAGTGACGGAATCAATCCATCTCATTGAGGGTCTCCTCTCCTGCGCTGTCCCTCCACCCTCCCAAACATGATGTCCCTCTCTAAGGACTGATCTGGCCTTGCAACATGACCAAAGTATGTCAGACAAAGCTTCAGAATCCTTGCTTCCAAGGAGCAGTCTGGCTTCAACCTCTTCAGGATGAAATTGTTTGTTCTCCTAGCAGTCCATGGTATATTCAATACTCTTTTCCAGCACCACAGCTCAAAGGCATCAACTCTCTTTCTATCCTCCCCAGTCATTGTCCAGCTCACTTCGAAAGAGTATTCTGTCTGTACTTATTTCAAGAAAGATGTATTAATTTCTTTTAGGTATTCAATATTTTTTGTCAATACCACAATTCAAAGGCATTGATTTTTCTTCACTTTTGTCTAACTCACTGTGCAACTTGAACAAGCAAATGTTTATAATGATGAGGAATTACCCAGTTCAGGGTTTCATGAGGGTTTAAGCATTGTGAGTATGGTGCAGGTCTTTGTTCATTGTGAAGATGGGGCACAATTCCTTTCTGTTGTACGTAAGAGCTGACTTGATAGTACCTAGAAACAATAAGGCTTAATACATAATGCTGTTATGTGCCATCATGTAGCTTACGACTCACTGAACCTACGTACAACAGCTCTGAATCCTGCTCTATCCTGTGCCAACATTATTCTCTCTGACACACCTATTCTCAATATCCCAGTCACTAAGCCAACCCATCTCATCCAGGGTCTTCCTCTCTGGCACTGTCCCTCTACTCTCCCAAGCATTATGCCTCCTCCTGGGACTGGTCTCTCCTTGCAACATACCCAAAGTATGTCATACGAAGCTTCAGAATCCTTGTCTCCAAGGAGAAGCCTGGTTTCACCCTCTCTAAAACAAATCTGTTCTCCTCACAGTCCGTGGTGTAGTCAATATTATTATTCTCCAGCATCACAGCTCAAAGCCATCAATTCTCCTTTTATCATTCCTAGTCATTGTACAGCTTTCTGATGCATAGCAAGTAATTACAAAGACCATGCCCTGGATCAGGTGCACCTTAGTTTCTAAACTGACATTATTGATCTTTAGTACCCTGAAGAGATCCCTGACAGCAGACTTTTTTCCCCCCAATGTAATTCATCGTTTGATTTCCTGGCTGTTTGGTGCCGACAATGTTGATTACAAAGCCAAACTAACTAATGCTGTTAACAATCTCAATCTCTTCACCATCCATCACAATGCTGCCAGCTGATCCAGTGGTGAGAATCTTTATTGGTTTTTTAAAAATTATTATTATTATTAATTTCAATGAGCATCTACAGAGATTTTGGAATTCCATTCATTCATTGTTGCACTTTTCTCCCCGCCCCTGCCCCCAGCCCAAGTTCACTCT